TTTTTTTTTGGTAAAAATAAACAAAGCAAATTCAGATTCCTCGGGCCACAAACCCCCAGAGAGGCCTATTGAATGTATAAATATTTGCATTTAAATCAATTTTAATTGTTGTAAATGCTACTTTGCGACCGCCAACTTCAAATTGATAAAAAACGCTTTAAATCGCCAAGCTGGGAAAACTGAGAGATTACTTTTCTATGTAAAATCCAAACTTCGTAATTGAGTCAAGAGTGGTAAATATGGAAGCACCACAATCAACCAAGCTACCAATTAACCTTCGAAAAGAGTCCATTGAAAACTCAAATTCATTACTCTTTGCGAAGGCTCTACAAGCAAATCCAGAACGGGCTTTGACTTTCGCTTTCCGTCTACAAAGATGGTCTAATATCATTCTCTCGGCAGTCCGTCGGATGCTCTACGTTTCACTCTCGATCAAGTAGTTGCCTGGTTCCCGGCACAATGTTAAAGTGTTATTCGCCGCAAACAACTAAGTATGTAGACGTCAATTTTATTGCTATTGAGCTTTGTACTACGATGCGGCTTCGATTCCTGCTGAAGTCTAGAAAGAGAAGTCTGATAAGGAGAAGTGGTGATCTGCATTCCCATTTCCTCTAAGAAACATAATCGTGATACAGAGGTTAATAACAGTATTAAATTATGTAGATATTTTAATATAGTTCTTGACAAGCTTAGGGGTGATTAGCCAACAACCTACATATTTATACTTTGATTACATATTTATGCTAGGCACATTATCACAAAACTTAAATAACTAGTTGCCCTTTTTCGGTATTCATTTTCTTCAACGAGAGAAAAAAAGCGATACAAGTAATAACGCCAATAGCACTGACCAATATTGCTTAGCATTCCTTGTCACTGTCACTCTTTTAGTTTCCGCCAAACATGTCTATGCATTGGTGTCAATCGGTTCATGGGCTAATTGGCAGCAGACCAACATAATGTCGCCTGGGCGTTTAACATTGGCTTACTACACAGTTCGACATCTAAGTATCTATGTATTAGCTGCCCACAGTGACATTGTCCAATGTTCATTTATTGACATAAAATTGGCTAAATAAAATTTTTCTTGTTCACATATGCAGTTCGGAGTCATTTTAGCGCCAAGTGGCAATAACAACTACTAAATTAATGAATATTTTTATTCGGAAATAATTGGCTGCATTTCAGCTGCTTAATGATTTATGTAAACACATTTTGTTTGACTTCAAATATTGGCAGATAAGATTTCAATAGTGTCACCAGAAACACACTGACGGCAAAGCGGATACAGCTATGTCCGATTTAGACCAAGTCAGTTGACATTTTGAATTTTCTTTTCACACACGAAGAACGTTATGTGCACTTAACTATGTGTAGAGTGCTGTATTTAGATATTTATTTTGTGAAACTTTTTGCAAGGCCAGTTAAAGGAATGTTGATGTTTCTTTCTTGTGAAAACTTTAAAACGTATTGTAGTGTGATGATTCACAAAAGTTTGTGTAAAATCTTATCCAATTTTGGAGATTAGATTTCTTCTCGATATCAGAGGGGTTCAAATCGCCTTACTCTGGGTCTATAGTTTGCAAAAGCTAATGTGTAGTTCCCACAGACAAGAGTTGTTCAATTTCATTGGAAAGTTTCCTCCTTGTGAGCATACCTTATAATATCCAAAGTGACTGCAGTAAAAGCGACCTCTCAGGAGTAGGAGCGTACAGATGACTGCAATGTAATAAAGAGCTGTAGCGTATTATTTTATGTTGATGGCCATAATTGTCTCTATTTTACTGAAAGATATCATGTCTTCACCGTACATAAATACATAAGTATTTGCGTCTAATTATGCATCTAAAGTTTTTCAGTCTGCCTCAAAACAAGATAATACGATCAAACTTCTTAAGCTGCTACAATGAAATCGACGAAGAAGATTATACACAAAATATTTTGAAGTAAAATTTTGCTGAGTGTTTGGACAATATTCCTTTCTTAAATTAAATATAAATTTCGAAAACAGCATAGCATCTTGGTTATTTATTTATTAGGTGAAAAGAATGCTATGGACCAATCATGTTTTGACCTTATAACCAGTTTCTCTTTGCTATTGTTTTGAACATAGGATTCCCCCTGTTAAGTAGTCCTCCAAGTAATCGTTATTAGCCTTGACGCTATAAGTTAAAAACCCGCCCTAGTGGGGTTCTTTTCTAAACACTCGTCATAGTCACGTTCGCCTACGTTTCTTACCTTCTTGCACTGCATCTTCGATTATGTTATTATCGTCTTAGCTACTGGTGCAACTCTATAATGGCCTTATTTACTGCATTCCACGCTTAGTTTGAGCTCAATGTGATAAATACCAGCTAGGTTGCCTGGTCGCAGTGGCAACTGTTTTCTCGTTCTAACCAAAATTTATGCATTCTTCTCCGCCGCGACAAACACGTACATGGTATGCATGCTAAGGCAATCGGACCACGGCAAGCTTTAAGCAATGGTTTTTGATATAACTATAATATTTTATTGAATTTAATTATTAAAACAAGTGGCAATCTCCTATATAATATTTTCGAAATTGAGCTTTCTTAAATACCTTTCGTTTGACACCCATATTGTAATATTTATTTTATTTAATCAAGTTAATGGATTTTAATTTTTCAAACAAGTGGCAGCCCTGTTCAAAAATATTTGCTTTAAATTAGCTCTCTTAAACCCCTTGCCATTGTGATACCCGTATTTCCATATTTGATCGATGCAATGAATACAATTTAATTTAACTTTTTAAACAGACGGCAACTCTCTTTAAACCAAGCTATGAATCTTCTTTTTCTCTGACAGTTTACGGCTTTTTTATTACAAAAAAAAAATAGTCGAATATACGTTGTATGGAAGAAATTGCGTTAAAATTGCTAAAAATTTACGCGATGTTTTAGCAGCTTCGAACATGCACTTTATTAATTACTATACTATAATTTAATGGGCTATCAAACTGCGTGTTCAAAAAAATTCTGATTCAAAAGTTGAAGATTTTGATGCAACTTTGCGGATTTTTTTATAATTTTGTAAATCTAAATTTCAAACTTTCTGCTAAATTATAAAATTTCTTACACCACAATTTTAAACCAATTAAAAAAAAAAAACAAAAATTAAATGAAAGCTAAATATTTGTAAAATAAATCTACCGGTCATAATTCAATGAGTAAATATTGCAGATAGCGTTAATTTTTTCAATACTTTTGATTTTTTCGAAACATTTATCGATTTTATTGTCTTTATTTATCGTTAAATTTATCGATATCTTAATTTACTGAATTTAATATACAAATTTTTAAGTGTATTCCCTTAAATCGCATAAGTTTTTGGAAATTTCGAAAAGCACGGAACTTTTACTGAAACGTCAACACTCGTATGTGAAATATTTTCGAGCCGCGAGTTTTCTGGCTTTTCAAGCTGGGGGGAATTATCCCCTTTCTATTTTTTTATTTAACAAATTTTTAAATTTTTTCCCATGAGGTTTATTAGCGCACTGAAGTTGTTTGCATTTTGAAAGGTAAATAAAATTTTTTAGCAAATGAAATATTTATGTCAGATTTCCAATGGGCATTTAATGACTAGTTGGGCATTAGAAAAGTATGTAATTAATTCAATAAAAATATTCATTAAGTTCGGTTCCGCGAGGCATTTTTTGAATGGCACAAATTTTTTGTCTTCTCAGTGCCTAGTGGAAACTTGGCATTATATAAATTATGGTTCACAATGTTCGCTAGCGAGGCTATTTTCTACTTTTTTCCCTAACTAATTAAATCTTTATATTATTATGGTTCACAATGTTCGCTAGCGAGGCTATTCTCTACTTTTTTCCCTAACTAATTAAATCTTTATATTTCTATTCAATTTTAAATTTGGTTTAGAAAGCAAATCAACAATCAAAAGTATGTTTACTCTCACAGCGTTGTGGTGGATACATATTTATGTTTCTATGTATGTACATATGTATGTATAAGCCTATATCCTATTTGTATGCCAAAAAAGTGTCTAAAGAATTCACAGACTACAATGTATTTTCATGAATCTAACCTCACCTTTCACTTTGTATCTTTTTCGGCTTTCAACGACACCGTTATATCGGCATTCGCGCCATAAAAATCTACCCACCAACTCGTATACATACATATGTGCTATGTATGCATGCAGTCACAACGATTTGGCGTGGAATATACGGAAATTTTTGAAAAATCGTCTGCAAGATTTTCCTTTTGCCGGCGATTTGCGTGAGGTGTTGCCATGGTCGGCGAGCGCTTGGAGCCACACCGATTTACCGCGACTGAAGGAGGGCATGGTGGCGGCACAGGTATGTACACAAATACATGGAAGAGAAGAAATTCACGCACATACATAGCTAGAAATTTAAAAGCACACACATTTTTTTTTTAAGTTTGTATATATGTATATCTACAAAGGTAGCGAGCTGCATTGTTTGTGAGAGCTTCAACAGGTTGACTAGCACAGCTTCTAAAGCAAAAACAAGTAGCACAGGAAACGCGCACAAATTGAGTTTACCCACTGACAAAAGTTTTTTGCAAAACAATTTTTATATTTCTGATTTTTTCTTGCTTTTCTTTAATATTTAATGGCATTGGTTTCGATCAAATATTCGCCTTAAAATATTTATGTCTTTTTGTTGTTGCTGCTGTTATTGAATAATTTTTTCTTCTTCTTCCTTTTCTTTCCACACACAACAGTTCTGGTCGGCATATGTGCCTGCTCCTCACAACATATGGATGCTGTGCAATTGACGCTGGAACAAATAGATTTAATACGACGTTTGGTAAATTTGTATCCAAATCAAATGACGTTCGTCACAGATGCTTCAGGTAAGCAGTATACCAATACGTGTTATGCAAAGTAGCAAGCGACGATATGCAAAAAGCTTGCTCATACTTACATACATATGAATTTACGTACATATGTACGTCTGTGAAAGGTTGTGCAGTCGAAGTGTAATGTAATGCCAAGTGCGTGCTCAGACATTTGTCGATTTCATGGCCGTTGTGTGGTGGTGGCGGGATTTGTGTGACATTTGTGAAATACCTTAAATACATAAATTTTAATGAGGGCTCTTTAAATTTCAAGCAGAATAATAGGAAGGCGCACCAAATTTTTATTTTTTTTTTTAAATACGCCAAGAATGTCTAATACTCAACCAGTAGAGGACAAATCAATAGGAAGGAATCTCGTTAGCTCTCAGAGTTTAACTCAGCACATAATTTCACTCTCTTTTTTCCTAATGAAACCAACTGTGTTACCGAAGAATCTAAATTTTGGAAGTAGAGTCACATTTGGTATATCGTGGTCCAAGACTGATCATGGCGACACACAGTGTTTGGACAATTTAAACAGTTAGCTTAGGGTGGGAAAAGTTAAAAGCCGTAAATAACAAATTTTGCTTAACTACTTATCCCCTCACTCTACGGACGCACAGTGGTCGGGGAAGCTATGGTTTACGCGAAAAATTAAATAGGCTATTACGATTATAATAAAAATGCAGTATCGTAGTATTTTTGTTAATGTAATATGCCATAAAATGTTTAGTTTGACACTTGGCAGCTGTCAAATCAATCCAATTTTCTAAAATAAGAATATTTGAAAACCACTGTTAGGTTTGTAGGCGCGTTAGTCACGAATTTTATGTCAAATAAATCTTTGGTAGTTGAAAGCTGTCAAATGGACTATGAAGTTTTTCTAAAAATTAGACAATATTTTTAAAAATGCTCCTGATTAGATTTTTAGACATGCGGATCCAAAATTTCATGTCAAATGTTGAATGGCTACCAATTTCTCTAGAAATAAAGAAAGTTTCCCAAAAATTAAATGTACTAGCTTTTAAGGCTTACTGATCTCGAGTTCTATATTAAATTTGACAGTTGTCAAATGAACTTTCATTGTCAGTTGAGTAACACAATATATGTGTTTAGTCAAATTAATTATTTAATGTGTTCGAGGGAACCTATTTAAAACAAATCTATGATCAAATTATAAAATAATAATACTAGTATATGTATAAATAAGGGGGATAGTTATTTTTCAGATTTTTTTCGCTTTAAACGAAATTCGTATTTTCCAAAACTTCAGTTGTCTAATTTGTAAATAAAGTTGTTCGGTTTTCAAATTTGTAATGAGCGAACCTCTAGATAGCAAATTTCATGAAAATTTAGTATCTTTTTAATCCTTATATGCCATATTGGTTTCGCTTATTGGAATTTAAAAATTGTCTTCCGGTTTGTTAAGATACTTCTCAAAAATCATATTTATTAGCTATTATTAATTCTTAATGTTTTAATACACATTATGTTATTTGGAACAACTGCTAAAGTTGGTATTTTTGGCGCCAGTTTGCCCAAAAAAGCCAACAAGTTGTAATCGCCGTAAAACAATTTTATTTATACTCACATATTTGTTTTCATACGTCCCACTGTAATCTACAATGCTTTTCATTTTTCGAGTTAACCAATAAGGATTAAAAATAATAATTATTATTTGAGTTTTACTTTTTCGCTCAAAGGTAATTACTTGATTTTTATTTTTTCGATCAAAAATTATGATATTTTATGATTTTTATTTTTCCCAAAGTAATAATTATTATTGCGTTTTATTTTTTTTTTCACTGAAGATAGATGGAGCCAAAGTACGAATTTCTAGGCAGACTTGCCCCAATGGGTTCGAAAGCGGTCACGAAGGGTATATTCTCTTAAAGAGATGATATATCTCATGGCTCGGCTTAGAAGAGATGAAAGGCTCGGCGTACCTGCGAAGCTGCAAGGAAGTTGAAGAGGAGGAAACAGCTTGCATCTCTAGTGTAAAGGTCCTGCACTAATGTAAAGGCAGGCTGCTTCATCTGGGTTCACCGTTCCTGGCCGATATTAGGGAGGTTTCAGTTACCGGCGGATAATTGAACAGTGTGGTTATGCTTAAAGTTTTCTATAAAAAAAAAAAATTGCTTTAAAATTTTACTTTATCTGTGAGCAAAGAAACATAAAAAAGTTGATTTTTTTTAGATTAAGGACATTATTTAACAAAGGACTTGTCTGAATAATATTAGGTCTATAAAATAATTGGAGTTTTTTTTTTGAATTTTTGTTGGTTGAGGACAAAACACTAGTTAGCTGGTGTTGTTTAATTTTTCCGATAGTGTGGGAAGATCATTTTTTGTTTGTTTTAGAGATCACATTTTTAAGCTAAGAAATGTTTTAAAATTAAAGATATTTATAACCTCATACATCTGACTCTTGACGACGAAAAAGTTGTATATGCATCTATATATTTTCATGCATACTAAATGTTCACATAAAGCGAGATTTTAGACATAAATACTAAACATAAGTAAATATTTGAATATTTCCATTCAACTGATTTTGCTTTTATTTCTCGAACTATTTTCATCTACAGGAATTGAGGAGGTGCATAGAAGTGGAAAAATTGCTAGTCTGATCGGGGTGGAGGGTGGCCATTCGATTGGCACCAGTCTCAGCGTTTTGCGAATGTTCTATCAGCTTGGCGCGCGCTATTTGACACTGACACACACCTGCAATACGCCTTGGTATGTATGAAATAAATGTATGGAATTTAGCGAAAATCACAAAAATGCAAGTGCACAAGCAAAAAAAAAAAAAAAAAAATTCGAATATATGTATATAATGCACAAACGCATACACGCCGCTTGGTATTTGCACAAATAAAAATTTAGAGCAAAGTGTTGCACTGCGAGACGTAAATTTTGCTTATTCACTGAGCAAATACAAATAAGCACAAATGTGTTTAGTAGTGCATATTTTTTCGCTTACAATGTATGTATGTACATATTTGTAGAAATATAATAGCNGCACAAATGTGTTTAGTAGTGCATATTTTTTCGCTTACAATGTATGTATGATGTACATATTTGTAGAAATATAATAGCTTTTTTTTTACACATGCATTCATATGTCTGGTTTTTTGAAAAGGGTCACAAAAGTGTATGTATGTATGTAGAAAAAAAACTTTAAATATAAAATGAAAAATAAACAAACTGTGTGCATCAGTTGCTGCCAAGCCAAATGCATAGTCGGCTTTGTTGAATTGCTTGGCAGCTAAGGATTACCAAAACAAAGTTAAAAAGGAAGATTTAAAAAGGGGGGGAAAAAATGCTTAAATACCACACAAAAAATAAGCAAGTAAGTAAATGGTTAAATAAAAGATTCTTGCCAAGTTTGTTTTCTGCTTTCTTTGTGGCATAAAAAAATTTCCGGCTATTGTTCACCTGCTCATAGACCTTAGCTTATTTAACGAATTTTCCTAATGCGTTTGCTAGGAGTATTTGGGAGCAAGCAGCACCCACATGCGGTTGTTAGGCGAGGTAATTGATTTTTGTGCAAATACTAACCGCAAAGTTTTTATTAGAAAAATGAAAAGAAAAAAAATGTTTATAAATAAATATGTAGGAAGAAAATTCACAAAAGGCCTTTGGGCTATGTAAGTACATAGTAGGTAGATAAATACTTTTGCATTTTTAAACCGATTTTGATCATTAAAAAGAGAATTCGGGTATTCATTCATTCATTCATGGGTCATGGCAACCACTATTACAACAAAACAAAGGAAACAAAAAAAGTCAAAGTTTTAGTCAAGTGGAGAATTGCTGTTTAAGTTAATGGCAATTTCTTCATCCACAACCAGCGTAATGATGAACATAGGTCTGATTTAATTTGTGGTTATTTTTAGCTTTTCTCGACTTTGAAACTTTAGTATGTAGTGAAGTAACTTTTTCTGGAAATTCACGAATTCAGCGCCATTAAAACCGCTCGTCTTTGAAGACCAAGGAAGTATAAACCAATTTTTGATACGTTGCACTGAAATTAAGCGTAGTGCCGTAATTATGTTCTGCGTCGACCGTTACAAATGGTACTCTGTTCCTGAAATGCCTTGGCTATAAGGCGAATGGGTTAGAATTTCCCATCCGATACCATCGAGATAAGTTTTGAGCACTTGTGCTACATGCGGCCGAGCATTGTCATGGTGGTAGAGAAATGTGTGGTTGCCCATAAAGTCTGTTTTACGCAATCGGTCGCTTCAATCGCTCCAATTGTTATGTGTAGAGAGCCTCATGAATCGTCTAAACATTTTCTTGATACAGAATTTCCTTGCTGCGATGAATATTTGTCCTCGCTGTCGATGGTCTGGCATCGCCGTGCTGAACATACGCCTCCCGGCATTTCGGATTATCGTAGTAAATCCATTTTTCCTCGCCGGTGACAGTACTATGCAAAAGCGACTTCGCTGTGTACCGTTACATGAGCATTTGGGAATAGAAGTTTGGTTCGTTATCTCTTGGCTCGAGTTCGTTTTAAACTTTCTNTTCGCTGTGTACCGTTACATGAGCATTTGGGAATAGAAGTTTGGTTCGTTTTAAGCTTTCAGGACCATACCAATGGCTTTTAATCACAATAAAATGTCTTGTTAAATCACACCTAATATTTGTGAATGTTCTTCTCGTTGATTGCCTACCTTCGGACTCCTTACTGGTTGCGTCAAAATCACCAATAGGTCCCTAGTGATGCCGGATGGAGATAGAGGTTCAGTTCAGTATATTCGAAGTATACATCATTTGGGATGAGACAGCTGTTCTAAGATGCCGATTTTGATCTGTACCACGATAGTTAGACCAATAGTTGCATATGGGGCGGTGGCTTGAGTTGTGACTTTTTGGTCAATATCTTAGCCTCGCCCAAGTCCATCAAAGTTGAAGTGATAAAAAAATTGTTCTTAGCTTACTTCGATTCACTACAAAAAAGGTCCATTTATGTCATTAGTCTGTGTGCTGAGATCAAGCTAGGGAGAAATCCTAATACTGAGTAATAGCCAGGCGAAACTGAGTGCCTTTTCATCATTTGATCTCAAATCCTTCTTAATCCTTGAGTACATTGGAAGCCTTAACGCCCTGGCGGAACACAACATCATCCAGCTAATATGGGCACCATATAACTAGGACGGAGGCCGCCCTGTCTCCTATAGCGTCTGAATACTTTTTTGCGATCGGACCTAGCACAATCAGGGAGGAGAGGAACTAGCTCAGAGAGTTATTCGTTCAAGGAGACTCCACTTCACCTACTTCAAAAGTGCGAGGCCGTAGTAAGAACTCTGACCAAGTGTTACATCCATACAATCGCTAACTCCTGGAGATATCATAATATTTTTGGCATCTCTAGGCTCTTATTTCATCTACTTATCTTTCTATCAATGACACTGCTAGACGTCGTCATCGAGCAAATGTCAGCATAGCAGATCAGCCTCCGGTAGCTGGAGATCTTGTAGATATAGAAGTTAAACAGTTGCGGGAAAAGGACACCACCTTGTAGATCCCTTTGTTTAATGATTCTAGACTTCGAGGTTTGATATCGAAAAATAACTGACGGCTGCCGACCACTCAGATAATTCATCATTCACTATTTTAGTGCCTGTAAGAGAGAAGGAGAGAGAGGCGTTTCAGTGTCCTCATTCAGTGGAATGGAAAACATTCTCAAACCCCTCTGACAAATACAGTGCTACCACGATAGCTTTCTCGCGGAGACGGTTATTGTTAAGGCTATGAGTTACCTAAGTGGCTTTAAGTACTGTGGTGGTAATAGGCACTTTGCGGAAACCGTACTGGCGACACATGCAGTACGGAAGTTGCAAGGCCTAAAGTGTCTACACTACTAGGGAGAAGGGATTTGTCGGGTGCTAAGACTCCTCACCACATCCCAATCTCTATACTGAAATCACTTGGGGTCTTCCCAACTAAGGTCTGTTAACTCAGTGTACACTACCAAAACGCATCTCTAACTGCTCGGTTACGGTGGCTGCTTAAAGATTTGTTTTTCGCGCCTTAACACGAAAAGGTTATATAAAAAAAATTGTCAAAATTATGTTAAATAACCCACCGTATAATCTCAAAGAGCTGAATGGTAATTTGAGCATAATTTTTTCTCAGTGCATTTGCAAAAAAAAAATTGCTGTGCTTCCCCTGTTGGTATGCAGAGCGGTTGAATTTGTGACACTTCAAATCCTGTAATACACATTAAAGTACATACCCAATTTGCACAATATTTCGTTAGTTGTTGTTTTTTTTTTACCTTGTCAAATGCACATTTACATGAATGCAACAAAAAAAACACTCATTAATATATTCATCCGTTATGAACTTATCCAAAGACAAACTCGTATGTACCCCACATAGTATGTCGTTTCGGTAAGTTCACCTGCTAACAAATTACGCGTGAAAATACGCAAATACTGTGCGTGTAGCTATCATTTTTGTGTATGTTTGCGTGCGTTCGCGTAGGTACTTAAATTATGATGATGAAAAATCCACTTCCCGAAGTGAAGAAGTATTCATCTTTCCAGCGCATATTTAATGTAGATTAATGTGTTATACATATATTATGTGAGCTTTTGCTGCTACCTATTTTCCTGGATTTTAGTATTTTTTTATTTTTATGAACTTACCTTTTTTCTATTTTCTACCATTGCAGGGCGGATTGCTGCAAGGTTGATGAGCCAGGAAAATATCCACATATTGGCGGACTCTCGAAATTCGGTAAGGTAAGTGTAAAACAAAATATTATAGCGGAAACGGAGTTTAAGCTAATATGTGCGCATTTGAAGCAAATAAATTTGCAGAGGCAATAGTGGAAAAGTGGAATATACGGCTGCTTGTAGTGGTTAGCAGTGCGCGCTACCACTCCGCAGTTGATAGGAGGAGCGTTCCATTAAAAGCTACTACCAGGGAAATTAGAAAATCCCGTATGTTGCATATGAAATCTATATCTCATTTAATTTTTCGTTGTTATAATCTGTAGTTGCTTTTTTGTTTAAACTCTTTGAATGAAAATCGGTGGTGCCTAAAAATTTTCAATATGAAAAAGTAAGAGATGAAATGCAAAATTCGATTCAGACGGTACGACAAACAAGTAATTTGATGCTTCATGCCTTTAGGCGTCCATGGTCTCTTTATAGAGAATTTCGGGCACAAAAATTTTACTTAGCGATTTTGAGAAATTTACTAGTGAGTGATCAAATGATCGAAAATAATAGCGTCTTTCAAATTTAATCGCCAAAATAGAATGCTAATTGATAGGAAAAATGAATTTGGATGATTAGGGAAAGAGTGTTTTTTTTTTTAAATAAAATCACCAGTTTTTTTTATTCGAATTCAAGATAATTTGTATATATGTGCACATTAGAGTAGTCCTTAGTAGTAGCCCTTCGCGCAGGAGAGAAGAAATTGGAGAAGCTTTTTGGTCCCGGCCCAAACCGGCAAACGGTTGTAGTGCCAAATAAGAAGAAGAAGAAGAGTAGTCCTTAAAAATATCAATATCATGCACTGCCAGGAAAATGTTAAAATTAAAAAAAAAAATGTTAGAGGTCACTACCAGGTTTTAAAAAAATCTTTTTTTTTATCCCAAAAATGTCGACTTTTACCAACTTCAACTCAGCTAGCTGATGAACCCATATAGTAAAATCTGCAGATCTTTTCACAGTTTTAGGTACAATTTTTTTGTATTTATGACCATATTAAGTGCAGAATGTTTTGCCCGAGTGTTTTTAGCATAAGTAGAAAAAAGGTTAACAATCATA